CCTTGGTTCTTTGTGGAGATTTAGACACATAAATGATAAACCTTATCCAATGTTTTGTGATAGGCTAAAAAATGTGATAGGAAAAAATTACTGCTTGTACTTTTAAAAGTAACGTGCTTTCTCTGTTAGTGTATTTCAATGGGAACTTGTCCATCCTCCCCATTCCGCCGACATGGAGTGAACGCAGCATTTAGCACGCTAGCATTAGCTAGCTACAAGCCAGGCTTCGGCATAAGCACCAGAGGTCTTCCAGCTACAATTCGGAGTCGTGGATCTGTAAAGGTAAAAACTAAGATCTCGGCACACATCTGACAACGCGTATGCGTTTTATTGGCTGTTAACAATCTGAGTTAAAAATCGCTCATACCAACACCTTGGTAGGAGCACCAAGCTAAGAATCTGAATAGACAGCTACTTCGTGTCCGCCGTGCACATTAACGCCAGCTGCTAATGTAACTTGCTAGCTAGCAGGGGGCGCCATTTAGCAACAATCAGTGGCAGTAACTAAATAAATAAACAACTAAATGAATAAATCAATCTAATGTAATACTGTGGTGACACAATGTTGTTTACAACATCATAAATGTGTATTATCCTGGTCGCTGACGTCGGCAATACCGATGTGACGTCATCGCGCTAAAAGTGCCTTTGATGTCGCGATCATGACGTTGTAGACCTGTACAAGATCACTATCTGCAGGAAACACTCAAACTTTAACAGTGCTTTGCTAGTTAGACAATCAACTCCAAGTGCAGCTTGCTACCGTATTTGTGTGATAAACCGAGACAAGTGTTTTTTTTTTTTTGGCTGAGGAGCTAAGAGATCAGAAAATGAGTTGTCAACAGACCGATCCTTTTCCGGTGTCTTCGGACAGTGATAATGACATGTATCAGGATTCAAGCCGGATGGTGAGAAACTGCGATGCTCTGAATGTGAGCATACAGTCAATATCCGGACATCTTGATGCAGCGCACCTCCAAATTCAGGAGCTTAGAAAACGGCTTCACAACACTGAACATTTGGAGGCACTGGAACGTGAAAATCACACTCTGCGACAACAAATTCAACACATCAAGGAGACACTAAATGAGAAAGGCACAGAGGACATGTTTCTTGCTGTGAAAACAGAAAGTCAAGCTGTGAGACAAGAGAATGAGGAGCTCCAGCAAGAACTTAAGACCCTGCAGGAAAAAATCCAAAGTGAATTTGCTTTGGAGGAAAAGTGTGCTGCCATGAAGAAGGCAACAGAAGCAATGAGAGAGCAGAACAGTGCCATGCAAAAGGAAATCCTGGGGCTCAAGGAAAGATATCAACATTTCAAAGCTTTGGAAGATTCCTACAATGTCGCAAAAGCAGAGAATGATGCAATTAGCCAGCAGAATGATACTTTGCGGCATGATATTCAGGAGATCTGCAAAGAGCTCCATAATGAAAAAGCTTTGCTTAAGATGAACAATGACATAAAAGTGTCACAAAAGGCCTTGAGTCACCAAAATGATGCCCTGCGGAAGGAACTCCAGGATCTCAATAAAGAGTATGAAAATGTAAATATCTTAGGAGACCAGTGTAAGGAACGTATGTCTCGCATGGAGGCTTTGAAGAAAGAAAACGACAATTTGCAACAGCAAATCCAGGTCGTCAACAGACAGCTCCAAATCAATCAGCAGAGAGCTCCAGATCAGGAGACCTTTAAAAGTAGGATACAAAGAACTGGAAGCTGAGGAGAAAGCCACGCAGGCACAAAGCAGAGTCCTGATGAAAACGCACAGTGAGATCTTGAAAAAGCTTCAAAATGAAAAAGACTTGGCTTCCAAATGTAACATGCTGAAGGAGGAGACAGATACCTTGAAGCGAAAATATCAGAGAATGACTAATGACATTCAGATTTTCAAAGAGCAGCTAGAAAATCTGAGGGCTTCTAACGCAATTCATAAGTCGCTGAAGACAGAGAACAGGACTCTCACCAACCAAAACAACACTCTACAAAAAGAATTTCAGAAGCTGGGGAAGCAGCTTTCAAAGGAGCAAGCCTTAGTAGAAAAGATTAATGCAATAAAACAAAAGAATGATGCCCTGGAAGAAGAAAACAATCTCCTGTACAGCAAGACTGACTCATTTTACTGCTTACTCCAAGGTGTAAATGTTCTGGGCAACACCTATAATTCACTGAAACTGGAGAAAAATTACTTGAGCAAGCAGAATGAAGCTCTACATAAACAACTCCAGAAGCTTCATAAAAAACTTGGGGTAACAAAAGCTTTAGAGGAGAAGTGTAAAACACTGAAGGCGACTAAAGATGAACTCGACAGACAAAATGACGCATTAGAAGTAGAAATCCAAGAGTGTACAACATTGAAGGCGACAAAAGATGAACTCGGCAGACAAACTGCCGCATTAGAAGTAGAAATCCAAGAGTGTACAACACTGAAGGCGACAAAAGATGAACTCGGCAGACAAACTGATGCATTAGAAGTAGAAATCCAAGAGTGTACAACACTGAATGCAACAAAAGATGAACTTGGCAGACAAACTGACGCGTTAGAAAATGAAATCGACGAACTGAGTGAACTACTTAAAGAGCTTAAGCTTTAAAGCTGAAGCCTGATAGGGTGGTATCACTTTTAACACCACCTTCAACTGACAGCAGTGTCTGCTAGTTACTTTACAAATTTGATTGATAGCCTTTAGTAACAAAGTAAACAAATTAACCAATTAGGCAATACATTTTACTAAATTACATGACAGACCTGGCAGACATGTCATGTAATTTAGTATAATGTGCAAATAAACAAATTAATTAGGCAATAGGGCAGCACAGTGGCACAGTGGTTAGCACTGTCGCCTCACAGCAAGAAGGTTGCGGGTTTCACCATTTCTGTGTGGAGTTTGCATGTTCTCCCTGTGCCTGCGTGGGTTTTCTCCGGGTACTCCGGTTTCCTCCCACAGTCCAAAGACATGTACAGTATCTTAGGTTGATTGGCAAGTCTAAATCGCCCCAGATTAGAGCAAAAAACAAATTTCCTCTCCTGGAATCACTACCTTAACGTGGTGGAGAGTTTTGTTGTTTCTAGACCTTACTTTGTAAAGTGTCCTGAGATGACTTTTATTGTTGTTTGGTGCTATACAAATAAAATTGAATTGAAAACTTTGGCACAATAAACACTTGACAGCACTCGGAGAGTTCAAACCTCAACCAAGGCCAACTCAATTTCTCCATAATGTTGTTAAACCTAAAGGCAAAACTCCCATGACGGTTTGAGCATCATAATGCGATTGTCCAACCATGGAAATCTACTGCTGGCATTTGGAATGATGCTAATATCACTGTTAGTTTGAAAGTTATTCAATAAAGTGATCCATAAATGCAATGACTGGCTAAATAAATGTCCCATGTGTACTTGCAGTTCTTCATACACACACACCTCAGTCCACTTTAGAGTCTGTTTTCCACCGTCCTTCCTGCTACATTTATTACGGGGTATTCACACATACTGTACACAGACAAAGTCGTTGGCTGTCACTGGGTCTGGCGCTACTGTAGTTCTGGTGTGTGCTGTGCTTAGGTGGACAGATGTGACAAACACCATACTACTTATGCACTTTACTTCTTTTGTTGATGCACAGATTGTTTACAGTCGCAGTAGACATAATATAGTATTATATTAATACTATAATGCAATTATAGTATTAAGTCCAAACTCCCAAGCACGGGGTGCAGTACTCAACAATGTGCAGCTGGAACAGTGACGTCCTGGTGTCAGATTACTGTGCTTTGAATGAGATATAGCTACCTGCTAATAGAGCTAGAAAGACAGTCACTTCTGGCTTTTCCCGTTTTTTTAGGGGTCGCCACAGCGAATCGTCACACTGATGACTCGCATGTTGACATTTGGCACGTGTTTTACGCCGGATGCCCTTCCTGATGCAGCCCTGATTCAAACCCGGGCCGCAGTGGCAAGAGTGCTGCGCCTTAACCACTAGCCTACCAGGGACCGCCTACCTGTTAATAGAGCTAGCTTGGGTAAATAACGAGCACACATCTCTGAAAATGTCATAAGAAATTTCTAAATTAGCATTACATGGATAGTCTGACCACATATTCAATCTAAGTGGTTACTTTGTCACCTGAAAAATGTCAGAATTTAATAAAATGACACAATACCAGTCCTATGGATGAAAATAACAGCTTTGAGCCTGGTACAAATTCCCTGCCATCAGGCTGTCGCCCGGCTATCGCTGCATATAGTTGATCTTTCCCCACCTGTGTATGTGCTCAAAGTGCTCATCAGCACTTAGGACACACTATCCGTATGGCAACTCTAAATGTTGTTGGCTTTTTGAAGGTTTTTGTGCTGTGTATTAGAAAGTAATTGCATAGACTTTGAAATTAGTTGATTGCTGTAACTAACTAAACACTCATTAGCTTTTCAATCTAGTCTTGAAATATTTTGTCCTTAATCATCTCCTGTTGTATCACATTGTTCCTCTTTTATGCATGAGTAAGGTGATAAATTACCAGCTATATTCAAAAGCAATTACTAAGTGTTTTTTGTTAAGTATTATTCTTGGATCCCTCTCTCTTCTGTGTAGTTTTTGCGGAATACTGTCATTTGTTCTCAGGTTTGTTCTATTTGCCATTTTTTCTGGCCCTTGGCGAGATAAAACATTTCACTTGCTGTGTTAAAAATTATTATACATAATCACTGAAATAATTGAATTCATTTCTTGAACAGTATTATTTGTGACTTTTAGATTTTTTTCTTTTGAAACTGAATTTTCTTGGCTCAAAAATAACCAAGTGGTCATTTTACACAGTCCCCTGCACCTCAAAGCATGTTGAATTCCAGTCAGTTGTTGTTGTTGGGGCTTTGTGCGTGGCGTGCCAAAGACAAAAAAAATGTTCAGAACATGCAAAGAAAGGTTCTGTTGTTGGTTCCCTGAAGCAACGTACCAATTAATGTGTCTCGTCTCCGCTTCTTTCCCCTCTTCCTCTCCTTTAGGTGACATGTAATTGTTTCACCATCAGTGATGGAGAGCTGCGAGAGATTGGAGTTGGACTGTACCCGAGGTAATACACGCGCAACACACAACACAAGGCAGTGTTGGACGCATACACATTTAAAAAGCATCATTAATTTCAATCTGTCTGGCAGTCTTTGCTGGATGGGACCCTTGTCTCTCACTTGTAATATAAAAATGCAGTAAAATTTAAATGTGGCTCCAGAGTTACCTGCCAAATCACTGCACCCCAACCAACTCCTCCCATCCTTTACTCACTCACTTTCAAAGGGCTCCCCACTTCCCTTGCTATTTTCCTGACAGTTCTTTGAATTGCAAGGAAGAAGGAAAGTAGAGAAGGAGTGGTTTTTTTGTTGCGAGCCGAAAACTTGAAAATGAATGTTGACAGAATACTATAAAGCTGTTGGGGGAAGCCAGGTGGGGTAGGGAGAAGCGAGGAGAAATACGAGGTTTGACTTCAGCTGATATGTGATTTTTGTCTAGCATCTGGAAGTGAGACAGACATACACACAGAGCAAGGTGGTATATATACAGCGTAATCCCTGGAGTGAGTCCTCGGTGAATGGGGTGGGATTTGGTCCATCGTTGCACATGTTGTTAGTTTTACACAGTGCTACACACACAACACACACACTGCAGGTATTGCAGCCAGTTTATCTTGTCAGTGTTGAGTTGTCAGATGGTCACAGTGGCGTTACCAAAGCTCAGCCAAACTGTGTGTCTGTGTATATGTGTGATTTGTGTCATAACTCATCCATAAATGATTTTGCAGGATGGTCCCCAGCCTATTGGTACAGTATTTTGGGTTGCCTAGCAACCATGGGTTTGCTGAAGAGAGGGGGATTGTTCTGGCGAGGCTACACCTCTGTTCACCCCATCAGTCTGTTCGTTTTTCTCTCTCCGCTGAATGTCAGGAACGCTCTCTCATTTGCCGACTTTCTCCTCCTCCCTTCTGTCTCCACTGAGCTCATCCCTCACTCTGTCTGCCTCTCGTTCACCACTAATTGGCCTGTTGAAAATGTGGTGTAAAATCCTACCCTCTTGAGCTCTTTATCAGGAGCAAAAGGTTTCAAACCTGGATTGATAATACACACCTTGGTTCATGTGCTGTAATCTACCCCAACCATGTACTTCATGTCAACTCAGACTAACTGAAATCCATGTGTAGCTGCAGCCAAATCCTCACACGGGTATGCTAAAATGAAAAGAGGGAGAAGAGATTAGTTGACAATATGATAAAGAGAGCCGGGAGGTGTTTGTGGCACACTGTTCAAAGGCAGCAGAGCTTCTATGTATTTCACGTAGAAGAGGTTTATTATTCTTAGCTCCACTGGAGACCGTCAGTTTCAGCAGAGGTGACTGTGATCAGCACAGAAAACTCTTTCTATGGCAGCTAAATCACATCTTGATTGCACACAGGTAATTTTTACTCAACTTGTTCTATATATGTTATGTAAAAACTTGAGGAAACACAGAGGTTTGACTTTTATTGCTGCTGCATTAGTATAGCAGTGAACACATTTCCTCCCACCAAAGCAGGCAGAGATTCACTGAGAAGTTAAGATGCAAACAAGAAGAGAAGAAAGCGCAGTGACATTTAATAGTGTTCAGTGACAATATTCCTGTACTTTCTTGACACCCACACCCATGTAATGTTAGTCTGTTAGTGTGTGTGTGTGTGTGTGTGTGTGTGTGTGTGTGGGGGGGGGGGGGGGGGGGGCTGCGAAAGTTGTGATGAGGTTTAGTTAATTAATCTAATTAGTATGCTAATGAGCTGCTCTCCATCAGATAAAAGTATCGTTTGCAGGGCTTGATTTCTAGTTGATTTCAACCTGGAGTTTCTCCACTGTAGAACAAAGGCAAGGGGTAAGTGATAGTTTCACAAAGGCTCAACGCTCACACACACACGCACACACACACAGTCTTTATCTCTTGCACCTATTGTTTATATGAATGTGATAAACAAGAGCAGCAGTAACAGAGGGTGTCCCAAAAAGTGAGAAACCGCTTTAGTGTTTCTCCCAGCTACATGTGCAGTGATAATGAATGTCTTTTAACAGGTCAGAGGTCTTAAAAACTTTGTTTTGGCAATAACAACAACATGCACAGTTAAAGTCTCGGAACAGGAAAGACATACATCACATACAAAAGTTACAATATGGTAAAATCACTGTTGCAAATTTGTACCATTTAGAATAGTTTAATGCGTGGTGTCTTTCAGTCTGTTACTGTGCATGAAGTGATTAGACAACAACTATAAAAGTAATAGACTCAGTTTAGTCACTCAGTTTATGCCAATTTATTAGGTACACCTATGTATAGCTTCTGTAGAGTAAGTAAACAGATCTGCATCTTTCATGAAGGCACGTGGTGGTCCATCTGTATGTTTATGGTATTGAATTTAGAGGTGTTTAGTATTTAGTGAAACTAATAAACTTGGAAGGACATTATTCATTGCAGAGCATTACTGACTAGGTCATTTGTGATCTGGTGTAAAAGATTTTACCCAATTTAACCAGAATTTGAGTAATCCAGCCTTGTTCTCAGTAAAGTTTTCTCAATATTGCCTACCCCAGTAATTTAAGCAGGAGACAAATCCGGCCTGAACAAAGCCTAAGAATAACCATTAGGTGATATAAGCTTAAGTAGAAACAAAGTATAAATTAAAACACTAATTTGTGGCATCAGTGTGTTGATGCTGACACTTGTCAGAATAAGTCAGAGTGGGGTAATGGTTTATGTCTATTTTAAATTTGGGATATGAGTCAAAAGCTTTTGTTGTGACAGAAGTGGAATACCCAGTGCTTCGTGAGTTATTTGGTGTGTGTGTGTGTGTGTCTGTGTCTAGAGGGAAGCTGATAGACCCCCAGAAAGCAACAAAGAGTGACATTTGTTATGACAGAAACTGCATTCTCATTTTGC